ATTGAGAACCTCTAGAATCATTTTAACCCCACGCTGTTTAAGCTTCGCACGCTAATTAGTTCTCATCAGGATACACATGTTTGCATGAACATCCCCCTCCCCACTTGTGAGTTTGATGCCCTTGGTGCGAGCAGGCTTTTACAGCTAGGACCTATATCAGTTTGGCATGGCTTGATTTGTACAGTGCTTTGTACGCTGAATAGGGGTCGGTGGCTTGGGCGGAATAGGGCCTACGGAACACTGGTGCTGGGCTTACAAAACACTTAATCCGGGCCTGCATTAAGTCTTCATTTTATAGTGAGGTACCTTTACTGAAAAAATCTGACACGGTGGACAAAAGCACCATTTGTTCACCAAAGCATCTCCATGGTATACCTTTTCGAGAAAAAAAAGACGGACGCAAAAAATTGAATGATGGGAAGGGCAATATATGACGTCATTATGACGTCATCAGCTAATTATTACATGAAATAAATATGAATTGATAATATCTTTAGAACTACAAACATCACAACAACAAATGTGGCATCAAATGAAAGGGAAAACAAGATTTTTCATTTGAGTGGTATGTCAGTGGGATGGAATGTAGTACAGGGTGTTTTTTGGCCAAAAAGCCCTATTTTGGTAAAAGAAAATGGTGCTAAAATCATGGATTGGGGTAATCATTTTGGCACCTTGTTTTAACATGCAAACCGTGAGTGGTATTGTGAGTTTTTGTTCTTAGGTCAGAGAGAATGGTTCAAATACTATGCCAAGAGAGTTTTCGTAATTGATTATCGGTATCTTAAATGTTGAAACTTATTCCAAAGATAGGCGGACAAAAAAACGTAATATAAGTTACAGTCGGGTGCCCATCCGAGTGTATTTCAGTTATAGGTTAATCACGTGTTACGATGTGGAGCTTGAAGGGGTTGGGCAGTCTGCCGAGTGTATCTGCGATCACCATCATAGCACCAGGTTTGTAGACATCGTCGAAGTCGCATCCTTGTAGCTTAATAAAACGCTGCAAGCGGGGTGGTGCACTGGCTAGGATTTTGCGCCAGATCGTAACCAATGGTTTTAATGGTCAGTGACGACAATGAAGTTGCAGCCGAATGAAGTTGCAGCAGTGACACAGCTTCCTCTCGATATTCGAGAATATGCTCTTGGCAGAGGGTCTATAGGCTCTTTAAGGAAAATGCGATCGGTTTACCTTCATGGCTGATGCCCAATCCTCTTTCAGATGTATCTACTTTGAGGAAGGTTTTTTTATACCAGTGGGTCGGAGAATCGTAGCCAGGACTGAGTTGAGATGGAGTGTTTCAGGGTTATAAAAGAAGTTTGATGGTCCTCTTGCCAGAGAAATGGTACATCTTTTCGAAGAAGATCACAGAAGGGAGCAACTTTGTCTACGCAATGTAGGGTGTAGTGTGAGACAATGTTGACTTTAAAGGAACCAGCGGTTTCCATCAGGGCGATGAGGCGTTCGGTGCTCGTCATGCTCTCCAAGGGACACCGAATACTGCAATGTCGTTGCGGTGATTGTTCCAACGCATCAAGGCATCTAGCTTATTTCGCCATCAATATTTTTGGAACTATTGTCTTGGCTTACTGGTAAGCCGATGAGTGGGCGACGAAAGCTGTTACAACCAAATTGTATGTTGTCAGCTCTTCAGACTGCTCTAGATGAGCAGACCAATACCCTGCTTTTGACGTCTAGCTTGGAGAAGAACCTTTCCAGCGCAAAGTCTGGCTTGAGCTACTCAAGAGTGGGGATCTGTAGAAAACATTATGTGTTTAGCTGCTTGGGATCCGGACACACCCTGAATGGGCCGTCTTTTTTGGCAGTTGCTGTGATTGAGCTGCACCCGTCCGTGTGATGGGAGACTTTTCGTATGACCCAGCCTTTCTCCATCTTTTTCAGCTCGGCCTGCGGTTTTGGTTTGACATGAAAGCTGTACCTACGTGGCGGATTTATGTGGGACAGAGTATCTGGCTTGAGGCGTCTAAGTCGTCGAAGGTATTAAACTGCGTTGGGAGCCGGTCCTTCAGGCAGCGGCAGCGGAACGGGTTTGAAACTAGGGGGGGGGGGGGGCATCACCGAAAAGGGGCACTTGCTCAGCATTGCTTTTTTTGCACATCCGAGCTGAAAGGTCGACACGTGTTTTTCACCGGACATTGGCCTCCGTAAAATCAAATGGGGGAGGGGGGGGGCTGGAACCTGTGAACTATGCATTATGTGCCCATTTTCAGAGCGTATTGTATTCATTTTGGGGCTTGGTTTTCATATTCGTCGTTTATATCAAAATCATCTATTGGGAAATGGTTACTTCTAAGAAATAGTAAGATACTTTGAGGCCATTTTTTTAGCTCGAGGGGACACTTTTATTCTCTCATGTAAATGAGGTTTTTTGACCCAAAAAGTGGTTTTTTTTGCCCCCAAAACCACCCTTTACTACATTCCATCCCACTGACATACCACTCAAATGAAAGATCTTGTTGTTCCCTTTCATTTGATGCCACATTTGTTGTTGTGATGTTGGTAGTTCTGAAGATATTATCAATTTATATTTATTTCATGTAATAATTAGCTGATAAGTCATAATGACGTCATATATTGCCCTTCCCATCATCCAATTTTTTGCGTCCGTCTTTTTTTCGAAAAGGTATACCATGGAGATGCTTTGGTGAAAAAATTGTGCTTTGGTGAAAAAATTGTGCTTTTGTCCACCGTGTACCGATCCTTGGCATTTTTGTCACTAAGGTACCTCACTATAACCTGTTGAATTTGTGAATTATTCTTTATCATTTCACTAGCACGGTGCACTCCAAGGGCGTTGGGGATGGAAAATAGAAACATCCCGGACAACAGCATAACGGCATCGTCCGTCCATAGTAGTAGCTATCTCCCAAGCACCGCTCGACTTAATGTAGGTAGGTATCGCATCCTTTCTATAAAAAATCAACGATCCTATATAAGTAATGGGCATTTATGTTATGGTAAACTTTTAACGGTGATATTTCCATATTTATGTTGTGCCTAGTTGCCTCATGAATATAATGATAAATGAAGTCATTTGTTTTTCTGCTTATGCTTCCTTGCGTAACTTAGTAGTGCTGTGTCATTAGGGCCCAATTTCATGGCGCTGCTTAACAACAACAAAGACTCTACCAAAACATTTTTGCCAAGACATAATCGCAAACATGAGTTGTTAAGAAAAGTATGGTTTTATATGGCTTCTTTTGGACTATTTGCTTACATTATTGATGCACAGTTCGTTATTACACATACACATGAATGAAGTCATTCTGTAGGCACCGAATGGTGACCATAGAACTCGGTAATTACCAAAGCCATACAATTAATGGGCCAAAGTTGTCGTTCAGTGGATTTGCCGGATAGTTCTTTAGTTCATTGTTTTGTGAGAATTTCAATATGAGGCCCAATTTACACTAGAAGTGCGGCGTCTCGCAGTAAAAGCCATTTGAGAGAAAAATATCGCGGAACTATACAAATTCATGTTGATGACTAATGAAAGTTTAGGTCAAACGGTATGACAAGGCTCTATATATAAACCACCCAAACGGTGATTGGTCAGAAATGCAGATTTATAACGTGATATTTTGGAAATTACAATGTACTTCTTTTTAAAAAAAGTCCTTCATTTGATCCCAAATAACCCTGTTGTTTACCAATGGAATTAAACCAACATTTCAGATCATGTAAAGAGGGCATGAACAATGATATTGAGTGTTATATCAGTTTTGTGCAAGAGGATAATATTTAAATGCCGTACGAAAAACTACTTACTTTGGGAATGTCGATACAGTGGAGGAAACGGTGGCGGAAGGTGCGTGCAGCGGCCGAAAGCTTCTGAAGGAATGCAGAATCATCCCTAATGTCATTGCACGCCTCCTCGGTCGTTTGTTGTTCCAAACGATTGAGGAGGAGTGCAGTGACATCAAGGGTGATCTTGCATTTCTAGAAGCTTTCTGCCGCAGCACGCCCCTTCCACCACCACCTCCAGTGCTGTATTGACATTGGAGGACGCCAAGTCGAAAGTGGCAGATTGTGAAAATGAGTATTTATTTTTTTCGTATGGCGAATAAAATCTTACCCTCTTTCCCAAAACTGATGAAACTCGCTTCATAAACTTTGTCATATGCCTTGTTTAACATTATTTGTAATTCCATTGGTAAACAACAAAGTAAATATTTAGAATCAAAAGTAGGAATAGAAACTGTTCGTCGGAATAACATTCACCTTTTCAGCCATACCTTTCTAGTGACTGTATTATTGGAGTAAATTTGATAAATCGTAGCTGATTGTACATCTTCTGATTGTAGGCATTATTTTTTAATTTGCGTATTGGAACATTCCCAACGCTAATAATAAAACCATTATATCATCCCACAGGAACCCAAGGATGGGTACCAAGCACTCCAGCAGATCAGTGGATTCAGGTTGACCTGGGTAAACCCACGACGGTTACCGGGCTCACCATGCAAGGACACCTCAGCGTGACCTGTTGTCATGTCAGGGCGTTTTCAGTCCAGCACAGCCTCACAGCTGAGTTAGATGACTGGCAGAGTTTAACCAATGCTGACGGTGGAGCAATCAGAGTGAGTTACAGAGGGCGCTTTCCAAACATTCAGTCATCTTTATTAATCGTTTTCCTTATCGTTGGCCTCAAAATGTTTACAAAGTAGTAACTGTAGTGTCCCGATAATACATGTATATGCATTACATGCAATGTTTACAGTGCTATGCAAATGAGACCTATGCAAATTAGATTGACCTCTAGGGGACATTATGGGATAGCGGCATGGTCGAGAACCGGGAATAAAACGCTCTGGAGACAAATCATTTTGGTATTCAATTCGTACTTTTTTGAGTTCAATCCGGCTTCACAATAACACTACAATTGGCGACGAGGATACTGGACAATTCAGGATAATCGTGAAGAATCTTTTGGACGCATTTGACTGAGATTTTCCGATTTAATTCGTGTGGAAAAGTCATGGAACTCAGCAGCAGTGACGTGAGTCAAGTCAAATGGTTCAACCCGCACGGCGACCCAAGCAATGTGGGAATCGCGTGGCAGCGATGGCTGCGTAGCTTCGAGCTGTATGCAGTCGGACGAGGGGTGAAAAATGCCGAGCAGAAACGAGCGTTGTTGCTACACTGTGCCGGGACAGAAGTGCAGGATATCTTCTTTTCCTTGGAGGAAGAAGAGGGGTCAGACGCCTACGAGAAATCAAAGAAAACCCTGAGCAAACATTTTCAGCCGAAAATCAACGTGCCGTATGAGCGGTATTGCTTCAGGAGCATGGCGCAGGAGGACGGCGAGTCGATAGAGCAGTTCATCGTGCGGCTGCGGCAACGAGCTGTTCGCTGCAATTTCCAGAATGCAGACGAGGAAATTCGTGACCAAGTGATTGAAAAATGCAGATCACACAAGATCCGTGCCAAACTGTTGATCAAAGGACATGATCTAAAGCTGGATGACCTGAGGACAATCGCGGTGACAGTCGAACTAACGGATAAACAAACGAAACAGATGGACGCCGGAGCACACGGGCCACAATGCGGGAGTAACACCCACGGAGCTAGCGCCAACGTGAACGCTGTGCAACATGGAACTCGTACAACGGGAACACGCACACAACAACACGGGAAGTGTTTTCGGTGCGGAAGATCCGGACATTTTGCAAGGGATGGCAGCTGCCCAGCAAAGAAGCAACAGTGCAACAAATGTGGACTTGCCGGACATTTTGCGTCTTGCTGCAAGACTAAAAGAGAAACTGGCAAAAGTCATGACGGCCGACATGGCAGAGTGCAAGGCAAGTCAAGTCATGCAAGTGGACAAGGGAAAACGGGATACGCGAAACCAAGAAAACCAGGACATGGAAAATCAAACGGTTCAGGAAAAGTAAACACGGTGGACAATGAAACTGACTCGGACTCAGACTCTTATGCATTTCATGTAGGAAGTGTTGATGTTAATCGAGTGAATTCTTGTTCCACAGACAAATTGCAAGTGTGTTTGGGTAAGCAGAAATTACCAGTAGATGTTATTGTTGATAGTGGGGCCACAGTGAATCTCATTGATGCAAAGTTGTGGGAAAGTTTGAAGAAACAAAAGATTACATGTAAATCTGAGATAACCACAAAGAAGTTGTATGCATACGGGGCTGACAAACCACTAGATCTGTTGGGTAAATTCAGTACAGTAGTTGCCGTGCAGGCAGAGGGTACTAAAAGTTGTGAAGTTTACGCTGATTTTTATGTACTTAAGGGTGCAGGGCCAGCATTGTTGGGGAGAGAAACAGCAGAACAACTGAACATATTGAGCATTGGAGTCAATTATGTTGATGATGTGCGTACAGAGTACAAACAGTGTTTTGAAGGCATTGGGAAACTGAAAGGTTATCAGTTGAGTTTACACATAAACAAAGATGTGCAACCAGTAGCTCAGAGAATGTATAGAGTACCGTATAGTATGAGACAAAAGGTTAGTGATAAACTAGATGAGCTAGAGTCTCTAGACATTATTGAGAAAGTGCAAAACCCAACATCATGGGTCAGTCCTGTCATTGTGGTGCCAAAGCCAAATGGGGACATTAGGTGTGTGTAGACATGAGACAAGCAAACAATGCAATCATCAGGGAGCGACATCCAATCCCCACTGTCGATGAAATATTGTATAACATGAATGGGGCAGAAGTGTTTTAGTAAGTTGGATTTGAAATATGGCTATCATCAAATTGAATTGGATGATGAGTCACGTGACATCACAACATTTGTGACACACAAAGGGCTGTACAGATACAAACGGTTAATGTTTGGGATCAGTGCTGCACCTGAGAAATATCA